CTGTCTCCATTTTCTTAAAGACTTTATGATTCCTCCAGACTATGAGTGTTGTAACATTTATGGTACATAGGAGCTAAGATAGGTGTTTTTTTTTCCCCCCTAAAACAGGGTCTTGCTCTGTTGCCCAGGCTGGAGTTCAGTGGCTGGCATAATCTTTAGTTCACTGTACCCTTGAACTCCTGGGCTCAAGCGATCTTCCCGCCTCAGCTTCTCAAGTAGTGGGGACTACAGGCACACACCACCATTCCTAATTTTTAAATTTTTAGTAGAGACAGGGTCTCACTATGTTGCCTAGGTTAGTCTTGAACTCCTGGCCTCAAGCAGTCCTCCTGCCTCAGCTTTCCAAAGTGCCGGGATTATAGGTGTGAACCATTGGAACTGGCCTCTTTTTTTTTTTTTTTTTAAAGAACAAAGCCCAAATGCTCAAATTTAATAATTTAAGCTGGCCGGGCGTGGTGGCTCAAGCCTGTAATCCCAGCACTTTGGGAGGCCGAGACGGGTGGATCATGAGGTCAGGAGATCGAGACCATCCTGGCTAACACGGTGAAACCCCGTCTCTACTAAAAAATACAAACAATTAGCCAGGCGTATTGGCGGGCGCCTGTATTTCCAGCTACTCGGGAGGCTGAGGCAGGAGAATGGCGTGAACCTGGGAGGCGGAGTTTGCAGTGAGCCGAGATCTCGCCACTGCACTCCAGCCTGGGCCTCAAAGCGAGACTCCGTCTCAAACAAACAAAAAAATAAATAAATAATTTAAGCTATGTGTTCCAGAAGATGTACTTGATAGAGGATATACACTTTTTATAAATTGGCATGTTGAAAAAATAGTAGTTATGGAATGGTAGAAAGATAGTATTTATGATCAATAGTTATGAGAAATAGAAGTTTTACTAATACAAGGATTTTGGTCAGCATGTATTATATATGCTTCTGAAAAATTGCAAAATAATTGGGTTTATGGGAAAATAGTATTGAGGCAGACCACTCAAAATGTATGCAATTTAGTTAGTATGCAAGCACTAACAAACACAATACTTGGCATCTTGAGGGAATAACTTGGATATCCCAGACAGGCAGGCAGCTCAGCTTCACTGGAAGCTGCCTGAGGGGACATGACCAAAGCATGGACAAAGTTGAATGGAAATGTCAGCAGTAGGTGCTGATGTAATGCAGATAGTGTGGGCTGCCATTGAGGCAGTGTAGGGGCAGTGCCACCTGCCACACTAGCTGAGAGCTGTGCTACCCTGGAGGTGCCTTTCTCTGAAGAGGGAGACTGGGTGCAAACGTGAATTTCTGATTTTCTTAAAATAGTTAAAAGGACTTCTGTCTGTATAGCTGAGTTGAGAGATGTTTCCTGCTTGAGGTGATACAGTTGACCCTTGATCCACTTGGGGGTTAGGAGTGCTGCCCCCAGGCCCTCATCCTCACCCCACAGGCAGTTGAAAATCTGTGTATAACTTTTGACTCCCCAGAAACTTTGCTAATAATCTACTTTTGACCAGAGCCTTACTGATAACATTAACAGTCGATTAACATATTTTGTATGTTATGTGTATTATATATTGTATTCTTACAGTAACGTAAGCTAGAGGAAAGAAAATCATGAGGAGGAGGAGGGGGTCTTGCTGTTTCAGGGGTGGCAGAGGCAGAAGAAAATCCATGTATAAGTATAAGTAGACCTGCACAGCTCAAACCCTTGTTTTCAAGCGTCACCTAATTATTTTCCCACTAATCTGCTCCCCTAACTGATGAAATATCCCATATGAAGGAATACAGCTCGTATACTCTACTAGTCATATGTGAAGTGAATTATCTGATGTTACAGAAACATGTGCTGTAGCAGAACAGATTATATTTCAGAGCAGACTGAGAATTTTTTTTCCCATAACAATGGGACTTCAAATCTTCCTGAGGGTAATAGAAGCTCAAATCAGTAAAGGTGTGCCAGAGACACCATAGCCTCAGTGTCTTCTGGGATTAGCGCTACAAACCATTTCCAGGATTTTAGTCCATAGTGAAAAATATTCAGTTTGTAATCATTACTGATTTCAGCAGCATGCTTTGTTGTTTGTTTAGTTTTAAAAGAGCTTGTCATCAAGTTGTAGTTTCTAAAAACGGTTTTCATACTTAGGTTTGTATAATCAGCACACTATAGAAAGCTTAGAGAATGGATTTTGCTTGCTAAACACTAACTTCTGATGGTGATGTGCTATCCTTTAACATGACCCATGAATATCAAATTGGTTAACATACAGAGGAATGTGACAGTATAATAATTGTGACAGTATAATATTTTCCACTTGCTTCAATGTAAGGAAACTAGAAAAGTACCAAGGGATAGTCAATATATCTAGGAAAAATTAACTTTCTTTTTTTTTGTGGGGGATGGAGTCTCACTCTGTTGCCTAGGCTCCAGTGCAGTTGCATGATCTCAGCTCACTGCAAACTCCACCTCCTGGGTTCAAGTGATTCTCATGCCTCAGCCTCCCGAGTTGCTGGGATTACAGGTGTGCACCAGCATGTCAGGCTAATTTTTGTAGTTTTAGTAGAGATGGGGTTTCACCATGTTGGACAGGCTAGTCTCCTGATCTCAGGTGATAATGCCCGCCCTGGCCTCCCAAAGTGCTGGGATGGAATTACAGGCGTGAGCCACCACTTTCTTTACATTTCTGTTGGTGATGATCTGCAGTTTTTTAAGGTCAAGGGAAAAGAAAACTACAGTAATAAGGAAGATTTCCTGTTTGGGGCCTCATTTAGTAGCCTGCAGCTGCTTTCACTTAGGGCTTTGATTGCTTTTCAGTAAACAGCATGTGATAATACTTCGACAAATGCTTTGTTTTCTCTTTTCATTAAGATGATTTCTTAGATTTATCACAACTTTTGAGTATTTCTAAGGTTAAATAACATTCTAGAATTGATTTTTTTTTTTTTTTTTTAATGGAGTCTCATTCTGTCACCCAGGCTGGAGTGCAGTGGCGCGATCTCACTGCAAGCTCCGCCTCCCGGGTTCACGCCATTCTCCTGCCTCAGCCTCCCGAATAGCTGGGACTACAGGCGCCTGCCACCATGGCCGGCTAATTTTTTGTATTTTTAGTAGAGATGGGGTTTCACCATGTTAGCCAGGATGGTCTACATCTCCTGACCTCATGATCCACCCACCTTGACTTCCCAAAGCGCTGGGATTACAGGCGTGAGCCACCGCGCCCGGCCTAGAATTGATTTTACAAAAGAAATTTGATTAATATAGGATTGGATTGCTTTAAATGTTTTAGCTTTGCTTTTTAATGTGACTAGTGTAATCAGACTTAAATCATTAAAATTATTTAGAGTAGTGAAGATGTGTAAGTCATACCCACTGGAACAAATGTCTATGACCTTTTCCCAATGAGAAACTACCTTTAATTTTTCCAAAGTCTTGTGATTAGATTACTAAGGTGGGTGATGATAGTTTAGAGTTACTGATTGGAACAGGAAATGTTAGTTGCTATGGTTTTGTTTCTAATGTACTGTATTTATATGTAAAGCATTTCGTCTCTTTATTACAGGACTTTTTTTTTTTTTTTTTTTTTTAAGTTGCTGATAATGGCCTTTTTATGGGCCAAAAAAAAAAAAAAAATCTTTATTTCTTTCCTAGCTTGCTGGAAACTTAGCTTATGTTTAGGAGATTCCTCTTAAAGAAGAGAAAACAACATATAGATTCTATATATGGCTTCACATCTACTTGCTTTTATGTCCATGGAACCCATAAAATATTTATGTTATGCCCAGGTTATAAAGAACCTCTGATTGTTCATTTAGCCCTTGAACAAACATTTGTCTTCAGCACCTGCACAGTATCCTGGCACATTATTTGCTCAGTTCTGGGATGGTTCATGAAGCACCTGCTTTATCAAGTGATGCACTATAGCTGGAAGCAAAGGCTCAGTAGAGGTGCTCTGTCAAACACTTAAGTCAGTGTTTACAGACAAGTCATAAACACAAAACAGAACAGCCCATTTTTTAGTTTTTGAGGTTGTATTCTAGATTGCACTTTGTTCTCTATTGCTTGAGTCATGGAACCCCCTCTAGAATATAGACCTGAGTAATTTGTATATAGCTACTGGCACTTATACAAACAGCAAGAAGAGTTCGGTAAATAGAAAGATTACTCTAGTACTTTGTATATTATCTTCCAATATATGTGTATTGCATAAAACTGATGAATTTTTACATTTTTTCTTTGTGTACATGTGAAACAGAGGATTGCCTTATGGACGATTGACAGGTGGTACCTAAATGTCCTCTTCAGACAGGTGGGATCCCATGTTAATGAAAGAAAGGACCTCATTTTATGAAGAAACTCAGGTCCAGAGAAGTTGTGACATCCCAGGATTACACTATAAATTAATAACAAATTAGTAGCAGGATGAACTTGGGCAAACATAGGTCTAAGTCATGATGTTAAATGCTCAAACCCTCAAAGAACAGTTTTAATAAGGATTACATTGCCTTCTCTTGCAGAATAGGTTTGATTCTGAATTCTCACAATCCTGAAAGATAGGTGATGTATGTCCACATTTTATTGATAAGGAGACTAATGTTCAGAGAGCTTTTGACACAAACAGATGGCAGAGTTATGACTCAAACCTGGGTCTCCTCTAGTGCTGTATTGTTTCTACTACCCATTTCTTAAAATTCAGTGTGTCAAGGATACTTTAAATTTTGAGAGGCTTGTTATAGAATGAGATGGATTGAGAAATCTATACCAGATAGCAAATTATAGCCGGTACACTTTGTTATATATGTGTTTAGCTTTGTGAGAGCACTTCTGAATGTCATAATAAAACCAATGCCTAGGCCGGGTGTGGTGGCTCACGCCTATAATCCCAGCCCTTTGGGAGACTGAGGTGGGTGGATCACCTGAGGCCAGGAGTTCAAGACCAGCCTGGCCAACATGGTGAAACCCCGTTTCTACTAAAAATATAAAAATTAGCCCCATGCAGCCCGGGCATGCCCAGTGCGGGCACAGTGGCCCCGGCCCTGGAAGCGCCCCCGACAGAGCCAGCCGCGGTGGGTGAGGGGCCGGGCCGGAGCCGCGGATCCTTCATGATGAGAGATTTGGGGACACTTCTCTCTCCTCTGTGTAGTTGATAGTTTGGTGGTGAAGAGATGGCTGACAGTGTCAAAACCTTTCTCCAGGACCTTGCCAGAGGAATCAAAGACTCCATCTGGGGTATTTGTACCATCTCAAAGCTAGATGCTCGAATCCAGCAAAAGAGAGAGGAGCAGCCTCGAAGAAGGGCAAGTAGTGTCTTGGCACAGAGAAGAGCCCAGAGTATAGAACAGAAGCAACAGAGTGAGCCACGTATTGTTAGTAGAATTTTCCAGTGTTGTGCTTGGAATGGTGGAGTGTTCTGGTTCAGTCTCCTCTTGTTTTATCGAGTATTTATTCCTGTGCTTCAGTCAGTAACAGCCCGAATTATCGATGACCCATCACTACATGGAGATGTTTGGTCGTGGCTGGAATTCTTCCTCACGTCAATTTTCAGTGCTCTTTCGGTGCTCCCCTTGTTTGTGCTTAGCAAAGTGGCGAATGCCATTTGGTTTCAGGATATAGCTGATCTGGCATTTGAGGTATCAGGGAGGAAGCCTCACCCATTCCCTAGTGTCAGCAAAATAATTGCTGACGTGCTCTTCAACCTTTTGCTGCAGGCTCTTTTCCTCATTCAGGGAATGTTTGTGAGTCTCTTTCCCATCCATCTTGTCAGTCAGCTGGTTAGTAGTCTCCTGCATATGTCCCTTCTCTACTCACTGTACTGCTTGGAATATCGTTGGTTCAATAAAGGAACTGAAATGCACCAGCGGTTGCTTAACATAGAAAGGAATTGGCCTTACTACTTTGGGTTTGGTTTGCCCTTGGCTTTTCTCACAGCAGTGCAGTCCTCATATATTATCAGTGGCTGCCTTTTCTCTATCCTCTTTCCTTTATTAATTATCAGCGCCAATGAAGCAAAGACCCCTGGCAAAGCATATCTCTTCCAGTTGCGCCTCTTCTCCTTGGTGGTCTTCTTAAGCAACAGACTCTTCCACAAGACAGTCTGTCTGCAGTCGGCCCCGAGCAGCTCCACTTCTGCAGAGAAGTTCCCTTCACCGCATCTGTCGCCTGCCAAACTGAAGGCTGCTGCAGGCCACTGAGTTGCCTGCCATCCAAATGGAATGGGTGGGATTGGAAGAAAGCTGTGGCAGCTCTTTTCCCTGTTCACCTCCCCCTGCCAGGGAAGGCAGGACCCACTCTGCCAAGGGCCCTCTGCATACTCCCTTCTCTCTGAGGAACTGAAATTTTTGTCTCTGGTACACGTAAGGCAGAATGTTCCCTGACACCAGTGTGTGGATTTTTAACATCACCGTGAGTCTGAAAGGACCACAAGTTTTTCTGCAGCTATTTTCTAGCATTTGCCAGTCCTCGTGCCTGGACTGATTTGAATACTTTGTTTTTCTCCCTGTGCCATTTACCCTTCCACCTTTCCATCCTGCCTTCCACCACCCTTGGATGAATGGATTTTGTAATTCTAGCTGTTGTATTTTGTGGATTTGTTATTATTATTATTTTTTCTGTGAAGCACATACATTGGATATGGGAGGTAAAGGAGTGTTCCGATTGCTCCTGGTCACTCCCTTTATAGCCATTACTGTCTTGTTTCTTGTAACTCAGGTTAGGTTTTGGTCTCTTGCTCCACTGGAAAAAAAAAACCCTGAAGAAATGAGATAGGAGGAAAGACCTCACAGCCAGTTCTGCTGGGTTTTGAGGAGTGATTTTCTTTCTTCCCCTTGAAGGGGAAAAAGCTATTTTCACTGGTACATTTAACGTCCCCCAACTATGGGGAGGTACCAATTATGGACAAGTGCCACTGCAACAACACTAAACCTGAACTTTTCAACTCCGTTGGGGGTGGGAGGCGGTGGGCAGAAATTTACTGTTGGCTACTGCCAGGTCTGTTTCATATTTCAAAGGAATATTGGGTGCTGCAAATAGGAACTGAAGAGATAAATGTATTAAACCTGTAATTGGTTGTTTTCCTGTCATTTTAAGACTAAATGTGGGGGGCAGATATCAAAATACTTGTACAATTTTAAAGTGTCACAATTAAACGTGAGCTGGTTTCCCACAAAAAAAAAGAAAAAATTAGCTGGGCATGGTGGCACATGCCTGTGATTCCAGCTGCTCGGGAGGCTGAAGCAGAGGAATTACTTGAACCTGGGAGGTGGAGTTTGCAGTGAGCCAAGATCGTGCCATTGCACTCCAGCCTGGTTGACAGAGCAAGACACTGTCTCAAAAAAAAAAAAAAAAAAAAAAAAAAAAAAAAAGAGGGGCCAGGTGCAGTGGCTCACGCCTGTAATCCCAGCACTTTGGGAGGCCGAGGTGGGTGGATCACAAGGTCAGGTGATCGAGAAATTAAAAAAAAATTTTTTTTTCTTTGAGACAGGGTCTCACTCAGTCATCCAGGCTAGAGTGTACTGGTGTGATCTGGACTCACAGCAACCTGGGCTTTCTAGGCTCAAGCAATACTCCTGCCTCATCCTCCTGAGTATCTGGGACTACAGGCATACATCACCATGCCTGGCTAATTGTTTTCTTTTTTTTTTTTGTAAAGACGGCTTCACTGTTGTTGCCCAGGCTGGTCTTGAACTCTTGACCTCAAGTGATCCTCCCACCTTGGCTTCCCAAAATGCTGGGATTACAGGTGTGAACCACCACACCCGGCCCGCATTTTTTGATTATTAGAAGTTCCTCACTGTCCTGTTATCTGCTTGTTCACTTACTGTGTCCCTGTATAGCTAATTTATTATTTTTTTAAAAACTTTTTAGATAGAGTCTCACTCTGTCGTCCAGGCTGGAATATAGCCGTGTGATTTCAGCTCACAGTAGCCTCAACCTCCCAGACTCAAGTGATCCTCCCACCTCCGTCTCCAGAGTAGCTGGGACTACAGGTGTGTGCCACCACGCCCAGCTAATTTTTGTATTTTTTTGTAAAAGAGATGGGGTTTTACCATGTTGCCCAGGCTGGTCTCATATTCTTGGTGTTAATGGTGGAGGGTATCCCGGTTCTTGGTGTCTTGAACAAAGAATTGGTCAAAACGCACAAACAAAGCAAGGAAGGAATGAAGGGTTTTATTGAGAATGAAAGTACACTCCATAGTGTGGGAGCGGGCCTGAACACAGGGGCTCAAAGGCCCGGTTACAGAATTCTGGCGAGTTTAAATACCCTCTAGAGGATTCCATTGGTTGCTTGGGGTATGCCCTATGTAAATGGAGAGGATGAAGTAAAGTTACAAAGTCATTTACTTGGCATACACCCTATGGAGAGGATATTTCCTGTCATGGCTGAAGTGTGAATCGGCCTTATGTTCTCTGCCTCCAGACACTATTTTTCTGCCTCATCTCCCCACTGAGAGATGTGATTCCCATAAATCTTTATGGGAGGCAGAGGGACCAATGTTATTTTTCTATAACTACTTCATGCTGCCTTGTGGCCTAGTCCCTACCTATTGGGGACCACAGAACTCTCGCCCTGCTCTATCTAGTGAAGGTAGGGTAGCTTTTTTTTTTTTTTTTTTGAGATGGAGTTTTCGCTCTTGTTGCCCAGGCTGGACTGCAATAGCATGATCGTGGCTCACTGCAACCTCCGCCTCCCAAGTTCAAGCGATTCTCCTGCCTCAGCCTCACAAGTAGCTGGGATTATAGGTAACCCACCACCATGCCTGGCTAATTTTTGTGTTTTTAGTAGTGATGGGGTTTCACCATGTTGGTCAGGCTGGTCTTGAACTCCTGACCTCAAGTGATCCACTCATCTCAGCCTCCTAGAGTGCTGGGATTACATGCGTGAGCCCCTGTGCCCTGCCAGCAGGGTAGCTTCTTGATGGCCAGGGGTGGTGGCTTCACTTGGAATTGGCTGGAACCTTTGTTGCATGGTCATCTGAAGCTTGATGGTCTCTAGGTGAGAGGGAATTAATTTGGTTAAAAGATTTAATGGGAACTTCAGAGGTAGATGCCTATACTATCAGAAATGTTTGTTACAGAGATTTGCAGAAGAAAAAACAAAACCTTGTCTGTTTAGAACCCATGTGTTTCCTTAAAGTCTTAGCACAAACAACCCCGTTTTGGTTTGGTTTGGTCTGTTGGGGCCCAGTGGATGAGCTTAGTCCAAAACAATGGCCTCCCAGGATTTTGTTGAAAAAATTCCCCCTTTTTGTTCAGATTCTCACTTAGGTGAGAGTATGACCAAAACTTAGGGCTGTAGGACCACTCTCAGTTACCGTCATTTTCGTTTCCAGTCTCAGCACATCATTTATAGGTTAAGTCCTCATGGTTGCACATTTCCTTCAGCTCTTGTCATTCCAGTTGAAGAGAGATAATATGACATTCTAGAGATGGCTGCACGCAAGCATTTAAAACCTTTCAGACAATACAGCACTTCAGGGAGACGATTATTATGACTGTTGGGAGGATAATACCAAGAGTTCAGAGTATGATCCTTACCCGGGTCCCCATACCAAACCACCTAAAATTACATAGATTAAAGAATGACCTGGGTGAAGAGTCTACTTGCTTGACCAAATGGTTTTTTTTTGTTTTTAAAGAGATGGAGTCTCGCTCTGTCACCCAGGCTGGAGTGCCACGGCACAATCTCGGCTCACTGCAATCTCCACCTCCCAGATTCAAGCGATTCTCCTGCCTCAGCCTCATGAGTAGCTGGGATTACAGGTGCCCACCATCACGGCCAGCTAATTTTTGTCTTTTCAGTAGAGATGAGGTTTCACTATGTTGGCCAGGCTGGTCTCGAACTCCTGACCTCAGGTGATCAACCTGCCTCAGCCTCTCAAAGTGTTGTGATTGCAGGCGTGAGCCACTGCGCCCAGCTGATTAAGTGGTCTTTTCATTAATCCCCTGCAATTGAATTTTTATAATATGCAATCTGTATTTCTCCATAGGCCACAGGTGCCAGCAGCTGCACAGATACTTCTCTGTTTAGCCAATTCTATTATTTAGTGTAACTTTCACAAGAGAATTTAAAGTCTGTTGTGTGATATAGCTTTTAAAGTAGAATGTGCTATAGAGCCTTCGGGATACATTTCTAATCATTGCTTCTTTCACTTTAAACCATGGAAAAAGAGCCAAATAACTGATGCCTTTCTTTTTTTTTTTTTTTTTGAGACTGAGTCTGGCTCTGTCGCCCAGGCTGGAGTGCAGTGGCCGGATCTCAGCTCACTGCAAGCTCCGCCTCCCGGGTTTACGCCATTCTCCTGCCTCAGCCTCCCGAGTAGCTGGGACCACAGGCGCCCGCCACTTCGCCCGGCTAGTTTTTTGTATTTTTTTTTTTAGTAGAGATGGGGTTTCACCGTGTTAGCCAGGATGGTCTCGATCTCCTGACCTCGTGATCCGCCCGTCTCGGCCTCCCAAAGTGCTGGGATTACAGGCTTGAGCCACCGCGCCTGGCCCTAACTGATGCCTTTCTAGAAGAGTGAAGGCCTCCTGGCAATGTTCTCTTTAACCCATGATGTGGGTTAAGAGGAGTGAACCAGTGTTTTGTTTTTGACTGATTATGAGGCAATGTATGTACCATTAAGGTTTCTTACCTACATTGGGCCTTCATTTGTTATCTGTCAAAGTATAAGGTTATCCAGGTAGAAGGCTGGCTGCAGACGCCTTCATAAATAAAAGTATACCCCATAAATGCACATAACGGACCCCTTTTCCACTTCTATTGTTCGTAGAGATGTAGGCAAGAAAAAAATATTCAAAGATAAGAGTTTCATGATAGTAGAAGTCTTAATCTGTGAACTTGGAAAAGCTGTTCACATCAAGGATGCCATCTTCTTGGGAGAAATTTCCCTGGTTGGCTTTATCTCAAAGGTGCCAACGGATGCAGTTCCAAAAGCGTGGAGGGACCCCTCTCAGTTGCAAGACCATGAACCCAAAGCCCAAGGTCCCAAAGTTTTGTTGTAGTGTGGATGGGAAGGACAGTCTTTCTCTAATGTTCTCAGAAGATTCAAATGATAAAAAGCTTTTTTTACCTGGTGAAAATACACTGTAGCATAGAAATCTACTGTTACAACATCAGCCCTCTTGCATGGGAAAGCTTTATACAACCAGATAGCAGTGGAATGAAACCACTTTATAAAATGTTTAAATGGTGCACCAGGTGACCAAATGTGCGTGAAGCTTTAATTGTCTTCCCAGTAATATGGCACCAAGTATTAGTTATAAAGTATTTTAAACAATTTTAGTATCAACTGGTTTGATTTGGTTATTTCTGTGATTTACAATAACTTAACATAATAATTATAGTTGATAGCATATACTTAGACATTAGAATTTTAGAAATCCCATACAATTTTGGAACATAGTATTATTAACAAAAATATAACCTAAAGAAGATTGAACATCGTTTTGGCAATCCCATGTACCTAAACATGTCAAATAATCCTGTTTACCTCTTTTCTGGATGTTTTCAGGGATCCTCTGATCCATCCAGAAAGTCAGGCATTTGGAAAGACAATTTTGAAACTGAAGTTTGATTTTGGAATTCCAGATTACCATACATTATATATTTTGCCAAAATGGTGACTCAGAAATTTTATTTTATTTATTTTTTTTGAGACAGAGTCTTGCCCTGTTACCCAGGCTACAGTACAGTGGTGTGATCTCGGCTCACTGCAACCTCTGCCACCCAGTTTTAAACAATTCTCCTG